GGCTGGTATAGAAAACACATTTGAACTTGGTCAAAGTTCATTCTGCAAGTCCACTGCTGCAGGCAAAGACACAAGGCTACAAGGCAATGCACTCTTGTTTTTACATTGTAAAAACCCATGTCCAGTTATTTTTCATTTTCTTGACAAGTCTTGAAAACAACATTATGCAGCATGACGAGCTGTCAGGCTCAGTATGTGTTTTACACAACTCACAGCTACTAACATGCTAAATGTTAACAGATTATCGGTAATATCAACCCAAATGCAGACGTTTGTGTTTTTAGGCCATTATGAATTGRAATGAGTCCTAATGGTAATCAGTGCATCAGACAGATACAGTGAATTAGGGATGCTGACGGTTCTACACGGATAAACACCAGAATATTTTTCTAGTGACCGCTTACGTGAAGAACATTTGATCTGCCTTTGTTCCTAATTTTWTTCTGATCTGAAAGTATATTTTTTTACTCTCTGGAACTGCTCCTGGTGGAAGTAATTTAGTGTGAGTGTTTTGCACATGTCGCACGTTCTCATTGATTTGGGGGTTTTTGTTTACAAAACAAAATGTCCACATGGTTTTTAAATGTTTTTTAATGGATTTCTAAAACTCCCACATTTTGTAGAAATTTTCTTGATTTGCTCGATTTTTTTATTTGGTTTTACGCAATTGACTGTTTTTGTTTCCTGCTTTCATTTTTCCTGAGCTTTACAAACAAAGTTGGATTGGATCAAGTTGATTTGATGTCGCAGTTTGGTGACACATTACTTTATACATTTTCTGCTACTTTTACTGGACTTTGTAATTTTTTTGTTTGTTTTTAGGATACAAGATGCTTCTGAATGAAGCAGGTGGATCATTTCCAATCAAATCATTGCAGTATCTTGAACATTAAGGAAGTTATGGGCAAAGTAAAAGAGAGGTGAAACGATCAYAGAGGCCTGATTGGTTCAGCTATGAAATCATGAGCATGATTAGTCGAACAAAAACATCCATAAATTCTTAAATACTTGAGATAATCATATTATTTTAGGGGTTTTYAATGTTCTTTTTGAGCTCACTGTCAAATTTGATGTGGGACAGAAATTCTATTCACATTCCTAAATTAATATTACCTCAGATTCAATTAAATCCATCCTGTGTTTSATGAGATCTTTTGGTAAGAGAAACACAAACCAAACAAAAACATTATGGTCCTTCCTCCCCTTTTGGCAGTGGGCAATAATAAATCTTTGTCAAATTAAGCTTTCAAAACATAAACAACACATTGATTTTAGATGTTTATATACCTTATCTGACAAGGTGTTTAACGAGACAAACTTATAGGACAGAACTGGAATTAGGGTCGCTTTGTGTCCTTGTGATCCCAGCTCCTTTAGAGTCAAAACACAGAAAAAAAGCTTTAATTAAAAACACGGCTTTAAATATTTTTAAAAACTGTGTGTTTTTAGGGGGGTAAAACTACCTGAATGTAGGGATCRGGTCCAGACTCTCCATCTCTTGGTTCTTTAAGAAGCAACACATTCATCCTGACAGAGACAAAAAATAAATAAATAAATAAACACAAGGTGGATTTTAACCTGATGCTGCTTTCAGGAACTAAAATGTGCAAAAACCCAAACAGAGGGTGTGGAGGCTCTTTTAGCTCAGCTACACCCAAAAAACTGTCACATGCACACTGATAATAGCAACACTGTTTAGTCACGATTACTGAAAACGAAAATCAGACAGATAACACTGACATTGTGTAGCTGAACAAAAAGTTAATGTCTCCTTAGTCGGTTTGTTTACATTAGCAAAAAAACACATTATGATAGATTAGACACCGTGACATCTCTATTAACAGAACTAGTAAGTGATACAAAACAATTATCTGTTTAGCATTTATAACGAGACAATTAGAACAACAATAAAAGCCTAAAAAGACCAAGGAATTGCATAAAAGTCATGTACCTTGAGCTGTTCTCGCAGAATTCATTCTGTTCAGAAGTGGGGGTGTCCAAAGATTGCCTGTTTTAAAATAGTATAAGAAAATGTACTATTATGAACTATAATAYATAACAACAGTGTGTAAATCACGCATGTATGTATTACAGTGAAATAAAGCCTTAAAAGTGATAAACGATGTTCTCCCTGTTTTTAGTTTTTACGGTTTATTCCATTTCCTGAAACCGACATTGTGGCTCCGAACAGTGCGCCTGCGCCATACATGTAGAGCCAAAATGGCGGCCGAGAAGCGAAGTTTCCTGCCTTGAACTTCGCCCCGCCCTCTTAAAAATAACACACACACACACACGTGTTTCGTTGCTCCAACATGGCTTCGTCAGCTAAGAAGAGAGCAGTCGGGCTGGGTGAAAATCCCGAAGAAAGCGACAACAGTTCGGAGGAGACTCCCGAGGATGATGACGATTCTGGGGAGGACGACAGCGACGCGTCGGACGACCAAATCAACGAGGTGACGAAGTCGTAAAGAGATAGCTTACAGCTAAGCTAGCTAGCTAAATGACAGAATACTAACTATATTTTAGTTAGTTTTGAGAATACTAACGTGGTTATTTGTCTCTCTCTTTCTTAACTTTTCGTTTTCTAGGAGGTCGTGGTGGACTTTGAAGCCCACACTATTTCAGACAATGATTTCAATGGCATCAAGAAACTGCTGCAACAGGTGAGGAWCTTTTAAAATCAATGAAATATTGTCCCGGTAGGGTCACTGACGTCACCTTTTGTGCTGCACAGCTCTTCCTGAAGGCTCATGTAAACACATCAGAGATGACAGACATCATCATCCAGCAAAACCACATCGGAAGTGTCATCAAGGTTTGTTTTTATGGTTTCGTCTGGCTTGAAGTGATCGACTTGTTTCAGCTCTTCTCGTTAACCCCGAGCCTTCGTTCTGCAGCAAGCTGAGGTTCCAGAGGACAGCGATGACGACGAGGACCCGGATGAAGTGTTTGGCTTCATAACCATGCTCAACCTCACAGAGAGGAAGGTAACACCGGCCGGATTAATGCAGGGAAATAAAACACACGAGCGGATCTGAACCTGATGGGTTTTCTTGCAGGGTGTTCAGTGTGTGGAGGAGGTCAAGGAGCTGATCGTGGACCAGTGCGAGAAGAACGCTCCCCACAGTGTCACCGAGCAGCTCCAGCAGATCTTGAACGACACGACCAAGCCCGTGGGGCTCCTGCTGAGCGAGCGCTTCATAAAYGTACCTCCTCAGATCGCGCTCCCTCTGCATAAACAACTCCAGTGAGTGCGACTTTCTCTGGCTAGACTGAGCTTAATCTGCTTAAACTGTCTAGCAAAAAAAAAAAAGGCGGGGAGACAAAAAAGCAGCGATGTCCGATCTGGGTCATGAACTGCTCGTTTTAGAGGTTTCTCTGCTCCAGCACACCTGATATGAACACAAGTTGATTATCAGGCTTCTGCAGAACTTGAAGAGGTAATTGAACCTCTGAATTGGGTGCGTTGGAGCAGGGTAACCTCTAAAACAAGCAGGAAGGCGGCCCTCGAGGACCAGGATTATTGGACACTCCTGCAGCTTTCAGCAGTGTAAACCTTTTGCAGTAAATTTGTGTTTTCACATATTTAATTTTATTTTATTAAACTCTATTCATGTCTGTAAATTATAGTTGTCATAATAGGATTAGTTTCACTTTGAAACATTACTTCTATTAAAAACCCAGTAATAAACAATGCTAATCTTATTAGCTCTTGTATGGTGTTTTCAATGTTGTTAGCATCTATGCTAATTGTTGGACATCCGTGTGATTAAAAGGGTTGTTTGACGTGTTGTGCACTCTTTTTAGGCATGAATATTTGAGTGTTTATTAATGTGAAATAAGCTGTAGTTACTCAAGCTTCAAGATAATTTAAATTAATCAATAGTTTTGTAATAAAACAGCTGGTGAAGACATTTTTTTTTTTTTGCTAGTGCAGAAATCAACCAAATATTTTTGTCCTGTTTTAGAAAAGAACTGGCCGAAGCTCAGAGGACAAATAAACCCAGCGGGAGGTGTCACTACTGCCTGCTGATCAGCAAGACGTGCAAAGAGGCCAGCCGAAACATCCCAGCCAGAGGAGGCGCTCCTAAAGAGGAGTACGTGTTCGCCAACGCAGAGGAGGAGTTCTTTTACGAGGTAAACTCAGATCAGTCCAAACAAARTCATCGGTGCTGCAAATAAAACCGATCTTATTGTTTTGTTTTCGTCGCAGCAAGCCGTCGTGAAGTTCCACTACTCGGTCCAGGAAGACGCAGATTCCTGTTTGAGCGGCCGGTGGTCGTTCGACGACGTCCCCATGAAGCCTTTCAGGACAGTGATGCTGATCCCCGCGGACAGAATGCCTGCTGTTATGGACAAACTGAAAGAATACCTGACTGTGTGAAAGATACAAGACCTGCAGGTTCAACATGCTCTTTTTTTTTATCCGATAGATCAGTTTGTCACCATCAGATACAGTWGTCTTATTTTAAATATGGTTTTCATTTTCAATCACTCGGTTCTATTAGCTTAATTTAGTATCAGAAAATATGTCATAGAATCTTTCAGTTTCAATAGATTTAATTATATCACTATAAATGATTTTTAAACTGACTTTTATAAGCTTTAAAAATGACAACTCATTGGGCCTCATGCAAGAACTGTTCGTACGCACAGATTTGTTCTTAAGTTGTGCGTACGAGTGATTTAGGAGAATTTGTGGCATTCACCAATG